AATGTTATTTCATAATTTATAGAGATGTATCTATATGATACACATAGCGAATAGAACATAGCTCCCTCATAATGTGTTAAAAGTTGTGCAGTTAGAGCGCTTCAAACAGAAGAGACTAAGCAAATATAACTAACATACAACAAGCAAAGCTAGGTGGATATTCTTACTATTAAACATTGTCTAAAGTGTGTAAAGCTCACCTTGGGGTCACAGTCCGCATACCGTGCGTACATGACGAGACCAATCAGACAGCTGAGCAGCAGAGTGAACAGCAGAGTTGGTGCTGTCACCAGCAAGGTCACCTTAGCTGCTCGCTCAGACTTTACACTCAGATACCTCTGTACCTGCAATGTTTCATTCATCATCAGGGTGAAAATGGCTGACAAAAGTTGCTTCATCTTGTAATCACCTGTATTTGTAATAATGACAAAAATTCATCTAAAAAGGGGGCTATGTTTTTTGGTACTTGTATTATTAGTATTCTGAATTCTACCATGAAAGCTTCTTGCTTTTACCACATCTGTCTTTTTTCATTGGATTAAACAACTTAATCAGATAGCTGCCAAGTTTAAGATCATATGTCAAATCTTTCCATTGAAACTTTATTCAGTTATCAAGTCTCTCCAAATATACTGTAATATGTCACAAATTATGACATATTTGCAGTTACAGTGTACGTGAGTGTTGAGTGCTTACTGTTGCCTGATTGGCTGCATACAGGGCCATCATCATCACAGTCCCACCTACAGACAGCGTCCAGAAGGTGTGTCGGGTCAGAGGGTTGGGGTCAAGGTCAAAGAACTCCACCTTCTTAGCACTTGTGGCAATATCCCACACCTTGGAGAACAGAGTCAACAACTTTCACATGATCAGAGTTAACAAAGTGATTCTTAACAATCTACATCTAACAACTACATTATAAAGTTACATCTACCAACATGGTTAGAAAAACATAAAAGTCTCCTATAAATTCTGCTTAACAATAATGCAAATCACTGTCTTTGTTGGCTCTAAATATCTTTGGTATATCTAAGATAAAGATAGGGATTGTTTTACCTTGTGAAACCCTCCAATATCTATACTGCCCTGGATGAGTACAGCTAACTGTCCTGCCAGAATGACGACTGTTTGGAACGTGTCAGTCCAGATAACCGCCTTCATCCCTCCCACAGTGGTGTAAAAAGTACAGATGACACCCAGGGCAAGAACTGTGCCCCACAGGTCAACCTGGGAGAGGAAATTATACATCCTTACTGTGCTTCTGGTATGAGCTGCACTTAAGAACACATAACGGAGAATAACATTACACTGTAATAAGATTAACTGCTGGTAATAATCTCTCTCATTGATCGAATGGATGAATGATTTATTAGGGTAATAAAAGAGCAACCATACACTGAATTTTGCATTCTTCACAAATTGTTGAAGTTTGGTCTATAGTATCAGTAGGCTATTTATAACAACTCAATTTCTACTTAAAAATGTAAACTCTCCACCAAGTATGCTGAAATGTTACTATTTGTCAATGTAAAATTTTTCCAAAAACTCACCCCAGTTACAGCATTGAGAGCCAGTGCAGGTGCATACAGCACAATCCCCATGTACAACACCATCTGTATGTTGTACATAACCGTTGCAACCAGGCGCACAGGTTTGGAGAAGCGTAGCTCCAGGTACTCGTAGCAGCTGGTCAGCTTGAGCTGGTAGAACACAGGGAGGTACAGCAGGGCAACGGGAGGCAACATCAGGAAGTACGCAAACCCCAACATCCAGTATTCTGAGCCATTCCTGTACACCTGAAAACAAGAGTGAACATAACAAATGCTTATAACAAATGATTTAAATATTTCAATTTCTTGTTTCCTTCAGTCATTAGATAGTACACTCAGACATTTATAAAATCCATTTTTCTGTTACATGCATGTAATAAGTTCCTTTGATTTTGTAAATGATGAACAAAGCTTTATTCTGTCCTGACACCCCCGACCAGAACTGACCTCTGCAGGCTGTCCCAGCAGAGCGATGGCTGAACAGAAGCTGGCCATGAGTGACATCGCCACGGGAACAGCCGACATCTTCCTGTCGGCCATCAGGAACTCCTAAGGGCAATGAAATGAACAAGTGAATCAAACAAGTAGTGGCTAATCTGTAATAATGATTGTCTCCATCAATTCCATACATTTGAAAGAAAACTTATTGCAGTCAACAATAGCTGGATACTTGTATGTTCCCTACTCACCTGAGTTGTACGCTGTTTGCCACCAGTTAGTGCGTAATACAAGCCGATGCCTGCTGAGATGAGGAGGGACACAGCGAAGACTGCATAGTCTGCCACAGAAAACTGTGGCGTGACGGCCATGTTGGAATGTTTTTAGTTAATGTCTGTAGGATGCTGTCTGGTGTGGATAATGATCTGTCCACTCAGTATCGATCCTGTAGATGATGACAACAACCTAGAATTACAGATGAAGTGGCTAAAGTTATAAAACATCCAGCACATAATGGACATAGGAATTTCAGACAATTCATAATAAATCCTGCTGCTTTGACAATGTTGTTGAAGAGTAAATCAACGAAAGACAAACTCAACACAAAGACTGGATAAGAGGTTGACCTCCTTTGGGGATATTTCATATACTTAAAAATTTAAATGCCATTAGTGATGGAACCTGGCCTGGGGGCTTCCAATATGAGTCAAATTTTAAAAAAATCACCTTTGCCATGAGAGGTTCGTGGCAAAAAGAACATCAAACTGTCCATTAATTGACTTTGCAAATTACAATTTTCCCAAAAGGAATCTAAATGGCCTTTTGATTTTGTCCAAGGTCCACCAATTTTGCATCAAGCATTCAGAGTGAGTCATGAATCTATCTTGACACATGTAAACATGATCGTGAACGCAGCATCGCAAGTGCGTTCACGACTCATCACACCACATGGTCCGATCGTGACTCACTGTACAGCTTCCGTCGTCTGCTAACATCCGCCAGGTCGAACTTGAACGCACGTCATGGCGTTAGCGCGCGAGGAAGATTTCCAAGCCAGTCGAAAAATTCATCGACAGCCAGTCTTTACGTAACTACGTTCATGCGCCACTAAAGATATGACTTTGGACCCACCGATTGTTTGCAACAAGACTTTTAGTGGAGTGTTCACAGAGGTCACCATGTTGCTTATACTACACCGCATCCAAACGCAATCCAATACTTTAGTAAACTAAACTCGTAAAACATCTTTAGAAGTGTGAACTTGTCAACCAAAATGATTCCTTTCCTATTTTGTACTGTTGATGTCCTCGAGAGATATCACACGAGTTGCATGTTGATATGACCTCCGTGATATTGACCCTTGCCTCGACTCAAGACGCACAATTCAAGCACGTTGCAGGCAAAAATATTCTGCTGTTTAATACAACGAAGACAAAGAATATGAAAACAACATCCTCAAGTCAAATGTAACGTTAAATGTCTTTGATACCTGACGTTACGTACACCAGCAGGGCATCCAGAAGATCATTCATATCAGCGGTTACCCCCAAAAGACACTGGCGTTTTTCCTAGAAATCGCAAGGTGGCAGTTCTTCACGGTAAAAACTAAAACTACTCCCACCAGTCTAACGTTACACATCTGCTCTCGGCGGCGGCTGCAGGCAAATGAGGCGCACCGTGGGGTTAAGAAATTACCCGTCATGCTTTGCCAGGTGTTCCAAAGTTAATTAGTTACATGTGCATGATCAAATTAGGCAGATAGCCTATAATGAATCATGTTGATAATCTCGAATGTCTTCGTATCAATCTTTTTAAGTTTTAAATATTTTTGACATTTGTGTGAAAAAGCAACAGCAAAAAAAGGTTGGAGGTCAGAGTTCAAAGTTGAGAGACGTGACGTCACCAATAAGAGTTGTGTACTTCCACCTTGCGAACCAGTTTCATACTGGGACTTACAGAAATATCCACCCAAAATTTAGCCGTTGGGGGGAAGTTATGGCAAATTTTCGGACGCTGAACATTTTCTGTGTTACTTCAATACATTCCATTCACAGAAAGAGGACTTCTTAAGATCGCAGCGATGATTTTTTGATAGGGGAAGTCCCCCTCACCTGGAGAGGTGTGCTGCAGTTTATTCCAAAGTTTCCGTTCTAATTTCTAGCCGAACATTTTACGTTGTTTTTGCGTGCGTTTCCAAACTTTGCCCCTGCGGAATGGGAGACCCCCAGGCAAGGAAGAGTGCGACTCTGAACCGGCTCCGGACGCAGCTTCGGAGGAAACGGGAGGCTCTCGCCGATCAGTTCGACTACAAGATGTTCATAGCCTTCGTTTTCAAAGAACAGGTGGGTCAACTGCCTCAGATCTAGGGACGTGGGAAAATCACCAAGAACAACAATTAACGGAAAGAGCCGAGTCTTGTGCACGTTGGATGTGTTCTTTGGAAATTCATGGGTTGATTTGTGTAAACGGGAAATAAAAGATAATTGCTCACTATCATAATTATGTATATCTTTGTTTCCACATACACCCATCTCGTCCCGCCCCTCCCCTTCATGACTACATTTAGTTTCTTCCCTCTACCAGAACTTCCGTAAATTATCCTCCTGGTTTAAAAGACAAACGGCAAAATCATATAAATGTAGTTTGTGTCATTTTGATGCAAACTCTCCTCTTCACTGGATCAAAGTAGTATTTGTTTAGGATTATTAAATGTATTGGAATTGGGTATTGGATGTGAAACTTCTTTTGATGGTCATCCAATCAGTCATACTCCACTGCATGTGATGCACTACCCTTTTGCACAACATAGCAGGATAAGCATTACACCAACTCAGTATTCTGATCTCTGCATGTACAAACCTCCTGTTTTGCACACAGAAGAAGAAGCCAGCATTGTTTGAAGCAGCAGAGGTGGTACCTGTCATGACAAACAACTATGAAGAGAGCATCATGAGAGGGGTCAAGGTCTGGTGTTATATGTTTTGAATATGTCCACAGTCCAGGTTACATATGCTATCATCAATAAGTTATAACTTAGTAATTCTAGCAAAATGTAATTTT